CCCCCGTTTATTTTTTGGGGCCAAATATGACTTTTTGTACCTTCGGACGGAAATTTCCGGCTGGAAACCCAACCCTGCGCCTGGTGGGAGGCTGAATGGTCGCCCCGCTGGGTGCGAACAATATGGATTTGGGATGAAAAGCTTTTCCTGGCCGGTTCCCCGGAGCGATCCGTAATTGCATCCCGCCGTCACCACCGAGGCGCGGTGCCGGAGGGATGCTGCAGGGCAGCGGCGCTCCCGGGGCTCGCTCTGGCATTTCGGGGGGTTCCATGTGCACAGCCAGATCCGGGACGGGGGCGGGATGCGGGACAGGCGGTCCATTCCATCCCATCCCATCCCAAAATATGAGGGATCCAGGGATGAGGGGCGGGACGTGGAATGGGGGACCCATCCACAAACGATAGGGATCCAGGGCCGAGGGGTGGGATGTGAAATGGGGATCCATCCATCCCGAATGGAGCCTCAGCTCCGGAGTGAGGGATGCCAGTATTCCGTGTTCTCCGCGCTGGTTCCCAACCTCTGTCCCAGAGGTGATGTTGTCACCGGACGTGGCAATTTTGGGTTGGAAAGGGCAGGATTTGGGCCATGAGCTGATCTGAGGTGGTCGTCTGGATGGGTGGTGGGGTGGGATCTGGGATCCTACGAGGTCCCTGGAGAAAAGGGAAAAACAAAAAAAAAAAAAAAGGGGGTGGTGCAGAAAGAAAACAAAGAGGGGAAGAGGAAGAAATGGGAAAAAGGAGGGAAAATAATGGGGAAACGAGGGAAAAGGGGGAAAAGCGGGGGATAAAAGGAGGGGGGAAGGGGAGAAAAGAGTTGAAGGAAAGAGGAAAAGAAGGGGGAAAGGGAAAAGAAGGAAAAAAGGGGGGAAATGGGAAAAGTAGGGGACAAGAGGGGAAGACGGGAAAACTGGAAATAAACTGTGGGGAAGGGGAAATAAAGGGAGGAAAATAAGGAGGAAGAGGGGAAGACTAGGGGAAAAGTGGGGGGGGGATGAAAAAAGGGTAAAGGAGATAAAAGGAAGAGGGGTAAAGAGTGAAAAGAGGAAAAATAAGAAAAGAGGAAAAGGGGGACAGAGTAAAAACAAGGCAAAGGGTAAAAAGGGGATGATAAGAAGGAAAATCGGGAGAAAACAGGAAAAACGGGGGAAAGGAGGAAAAAGAGAAGAAAGCAGGGAGCAACAGGGAGAAACAGGAGAAACGGAGGAGACAGGAAAAAAGCAGGGTGAAATAGAGGGGGGAAAAAGGGAAATGGGGTGAAAGGGGGAAAGGAGGGAAATCCGGAGGGAAATCCGCGGGGAAACAGGGAGAGCAGGGGTTCAGAGGGAAAGCGGGGACGGCGGGATCGGCGGGATGCACTCCCGGTCCTGCCTGAGCCCCGGCGCGGGGCGGCGGCGCCTCCTCCCGGCAGCGGCAGCGCAGTCCCCGAGGGGTCGGGGCGTGCTCAGAGCCCCACAGGCCCCAGCGCCACCCCATAGCCACCCCTGTGTCCCCATAGCACCCAGTGCCTCCATTGGTCCCCACCACTCCCAAAGCCCCCCAGCGCTCCAACAGTTCCCTGTATTCCCCAGTGTCCCTATAGGTCCCCAACGCTCCCACAGTCCCTCCAGATCCTCCAGTGGCACCCCCCACAGCTCTCGAGTGCCCCCACAGGCCCCCAGTATCCCCATAGCCCCCAGTGCCGCCAGTGCCCCCATAACTCCACCCGGTGCCCCCGTAGCTCCCCACAGTACCCCGATATCCCCCCAGTATACCAATAGCCCACCCAGTGACACCTCGGCCCCCAGAACCCTCATAGCCCTCCCCTTCTCCCACGGCCCACCGGTACACCCACAGCCCCTCACTGCCCCCCGATCTCTCCCACTGCCCCCAACAGGCTTCCTCGGGGTCCCCCAGCCATTACATCCTCCCCCCCCCCCAGTGCCCCCTATGGCCCCCTAATTCCTCTTCTTAGCCCATACAGCCCCCTAGCCTGTCCCAGTGTCCCCTCACATCCCTCACAGCCCCCACAGTACCCTCACGGCTCTCTAATAGGCCTTAGAGCCTCCCCGACTGTTCATTGTGTCCCCCATATTCCCCCTCCAATCTCCCCAGGATTCCACACAGCTCCTCCAACGTCCCCAGTGCGGGCAGCGGATACTGTTCTTGCACAGCTGGGTGGGCCGGGGGCACCCCAAGTGTCCTCAGCGGGGACGAACCCTCGGGTCGGAAGGGCTTTGGTGGCCACGAGTGACCCACGGGTAAGCCACAATCCCCGTGGTGATCCCCGAAAGCACGGGCACCCCCGCCACCGCATCCCAGCGGTCCCCACCCTAAGCGTGCCCGGAGTGACACAGGAAACACCGGGAATCGGTGCCACCCCCTCCCTGCTGCAGCATCCCGTGGGTAAAGACCCTGAACATCTCCGGGAATGTCCCCGCTAGCCCCGACAGCTCTGGAAGCGGCGCTACCCACACGTTTCTCCTGCCGGTACCGCCCGGCTGACCTTGGGAAACACCGGGGACGGGTGTCACCACCGGCCCGACAAGTCATCCGGCCGGTATATACCCTCATTATTCCCGGGTCACCCCCCGGGGGAGGCGGGGGCCATCATCCCGCCAGTGCAGCATCCCGCCGGTGCCGGTCCTAGGGCACCCCCGAGGTGACTCCTAGCGACCCCAAGCAGCAGCGGGGACCCGTGCCCCGCCGCGGCATCCCGCCCATCCCGGCCCCAGCATCCCGGGGTGATTCCTGGAAACACCGGGGACCAGTGCCACCATTCATTCCCACGCTGTGGCATCCCGCCACTACAGACCCTCAGCATCCCCCGGGTGACTTGGCATGACACCAGGGACAGGTCATCGTTGCCTTCCCCCGGTATCGACTCTCAGTATCCCCAGGGTGATCCCGGGTGATCCCCGGCGACGGCAGGAACCGGTGCCACCATTGCCAGGCTGCAGCATCCCGCCCTGGGCAGCCCGGGGGTGACTCCGAGCGACCCCATGCAGCAGCAGCGACCGGTGCCACCAACTTCACGCTGCGTCTTCTTGCCCGAACCGGTCCTCAGCATCCTCGGTGATGCCCTGAGTGACCCCCGGTAACGGCAGGGACCGGTGCCACCATCCCCAGGCTGCAGCGTCCCGCCGGGCCTGACTCTGGGCAGCCCCGGGATGACTCCTGGAATCACGGGGGACCGGATCTCCGCCGTCCCCCGCCTCCCCCCCACGCCGGTCTCGGCCACCTCCCCTCGGGCGCACACGCACCCCCTCCTCTCGCCGTTGCCATGGCACCGCTCACCCCCCCGGGTTGCCATGGCGAGCGCGAGCAGCGGGCGCGCGGCGCGGTGGGCGGGGCACACGGGGCGGGCGGGGCGGCGATTGGCCGGGCGGCCCCACGTGACGCGCGCAGGAATGCAAATGAGCGATGGCCTCGCGCCGCCGCCGCGCCGCCGCCTGAGGGAGGGAGGAGGGAGCGGGCCCGGCCCGGCCCCGCCGGGACCCCCGCACCCCCCGCTCCAGGACCCCCTGGCGCCCCCCGGGCCATGGCACAGCCCGCCCGCCGCCGCCGTCTCGCTCGGCCCGGCCCGCAGGTACCGCGCGTGCCGCCGCTACCGGGCCCCGGCGGCTTTGTCTGGGCCGGGGGGGGGGCGGGGGCCGAGGGGGGGGGTAGGCTGCGCATGCGCACCCACCGTGCCTCAGTTTCCCCATGTGGGTCCGTGGCCCCCGCCGCTCCCCGCCCCCTTTGGGGCCCCTACTTCTCACCCCTTAGCCGTGTCTCTCTCCCTTCCTTTTCTCCTGCGCCCCCTCCTCTGGTTCTAGACTCCGTTATTATTATTACTATTGCCGGCCACCCACTATCATATTTCAGTACTCCCATGTTATCTCTGACCTCCTATACTGTATCTGACCCCCTTGTCTTCTGTCTCACCCCTTGCCATCATATCCCACTCACCATCTTCCACCCTCTTTTCTGATTTTGCGCTGTTATTATTACTCCCACCCCTCACCATCATGTTCCAGTCCCTACTATTATATGACTCCCCCTATACTACATCTGACCCCCTCTTTTCTATCCAATCCCCACTAGTGTTTTCCACCCATCACCATCATCTTGCATCCCCCTTATTTTGCATCCACTTATCATTCCCTATGTCATATCCTGCATCTCTTTATTATTATTGCTCACCCCAATCATATTCCAGTGCCTGCTGTTATCTCTGATCCCCTATATTGTATCTGACTCCCCAGTGTTATATCTGATCTTCCTCACTTCTATCCAGCCCTTTCATTAGTGTTTTCCCCTCTTTCCTGTTATCTTCCACCCATCCTCTGCTTTTGCTTCATTATTATTATTGCCACCCCATCATAACTTTTCCAATCCCTACTCTTATCTGACCTCCCTCTCTTCTATCCCACCTTCCCACCATATCCCACCCTTCACCAGCATCTTGCATCCCCCCTTATTCTGAAGCCCCATATTATTCCCCCCATATTGCTCCATACTGCTGCTTACTCTCCCATCTTCCCCCTCTATATCCCATATTGCCCCCACAACCTTTCTGTATCCCCATTCCATCCCATTCCTCCAAGATTTCCCTACCCCCTCATCTTTCTGCCACCCCCATTTTGGGCTCAGCTCAGGGAATTCCAGTTCCCCAGCTCTTCCTGTCCTGGCTGCGGGACCCCCGCCACGATCCCCCACCCCAGTGGGTCCCAGTAGCACTCGAAATCTTCCCTTTTTTATTATTCTGGGCGGGTGTAATGGTTTGGGGGAGCTTGGAGCAGGTTTCTTCACCTCTGGATCAAAAGTGAGGTATCTCCATCTGACACCCCAAATTACCTGGTGGGGTTTGATGTGGATGAAGACAGGGGGCTTGGGCCCACAGTGGGTGGGAGCTGCTGGGGGCTTCCTCGGCTGTGCCCACCCCTGTGGGATTGGCTCCAGATGGGCCTGGTGTGATCCCTGCGTGTCAGTCACTGTGGTAACCCCATGTCAACTCAATGCCACCCGAGGGGGAAAAAAACAGGTCCATGGCTGTTTGGTAGGAAAGGTGATGCCTAAAATCTCTCCAGCTGATGGTGGGCACGTGCTGTGGATGCAGACCGGAGAGTGGGAAGTGTCACAGGCCACATGTACTGCCACTACTACAAACACATGGATGTCCCACCCTGTGCTTTGCAGCAGTGGCATCTGGGGGGACAAAGACCCATGGGCTACATGAGGCCAAGACATCACTGCTGCCACATCTTTCATCTCTCATGTGCCACCCCACTGGGTGGCCTGGTGGGGTCATGCTGTGGCATGGCCACCAAGGCCACCATCAGTGGTCCATAGTCTGCAGTGTCCCACACTGTTGTCCCCGGTCCTACTGTGGTGGCACTGCAGGGACTCATATGAGTGACATGGGTGGAATGCAGTGGCCATGGATGGTTGTTGGTGACCATGGAGCCTCATGGCCACCACAGTGGCTATGGTGACAGAGGTGCCACCCACAAATCCCCCTCTCTGGCCCCCACAGCTCTGTCCCCATCCTCCTCCTGTCCTTCTGTCATGCTGTCCATCCCCCTCCTGCCATTCATTCATCCCTCTTCTTCCTTCCATCTGCCTTTCCCGTCATCCGTTTCCTCTGTCCATTCCTCCTTTCATCACTCCATCCCTCTCCAATGTCCATCCAGCCTTTCTTCCATCCCTTCCTCCCTTTTATGTCTTTTCATCTGTCCATACTTCCTCCTGTCTGGTCTGTTCTTCCCTCCATCCCTTGGTCCCTCACTTTCCTGCTTTTTTTCAGCATTTCCTTCTATCCTTGGATCCTTTCCTTATTCTATCCTATCTTATCCAATCCATTCATCATTTCTTCCTTTCATTCTTAGAGCTGTCATTCCTTCTGTCTGTCCTCTTGTCCATCCTTCCTTCCATTCTTGATCCCTCCTTCCTTCTGTCTTTCCTGTTCTTCTTGTCTCTTCTTCTTTACTCACTGCTATCTGTCCTTAAATCCATCCTTCTTTCCCTCCCTCCTCCCATCCATTTTCCTTTCTGCCCATCCATCCTTCCATTTGTCCCTCCCTTTCCATCTGTCCTTCTGTCCATCCCTTTCCTTCTCCTATTTGTCATTCTCTCTGTCCTTCCATCCTTCATCCCATTTCTGCTTCCACCTGTCCTTCTGTCTGCCCTTTCCTAGTTCCATAACTCCCTTGGTTTCTCTCTTTCCTTCCTCCCTTTCCCTCATTGCCTTCTCTTTGTCCATGTGTCTCTTTCCTACTTCACTCCTTCCCTCCTTTTGTCTGTCCACCTCTTCATCCCTCTCTTCCTCCAGTCCATCCTTCTCTCCATGCCTGTCTCCTCACCTCCAACTCTGTCTTCCAGCCCTCCCTCTGTCCAGCCTTCCTTCTGCCCTTCCCTCTGTCTGTCCATGCTCCCTTTCCCCACTTCCCCTGGGGCACTGACCCCCACTTTGGTGGAGGGGGATGAATCACAGGGTCATTGTTTTTCCTCTACCCCACCTCCCTCCTCCTCTGTGATTCCAGCCCCCTGTTGTGGACATGTGGTGCCAGGGATACCCCCTCACTCTGTTACTCCCCCCAGCTCTAGTCTGACCCACTTCCTCCATCCCGCCCCGGCCCCACCATGGAGAATGAGCAGCTCCCAGCTTCCACTCCTGCCAGCAGTGCCGGTGGTGCGGCCCCAGCGCTCACCAGCACCACGGCCACGCGCCCATCCGGGCCCCAGATCTCCGTCTACAGCGGCATCCCCGACCGCCAGACCGTGCAGGTATGGGGCTGGGGGGCACTGGAGGGTTGCGGGGCACCGGGGGAGTCGTGGCAGAGCCCGGGGCCACGTTTCCCCCCCCAAAGGTGATCCAGCAGGCGCTGCACCGGCAGCCCAACACGGCGGCGCAGTACCTGCAGCAGATGTATGCGGCACAGCAGCAGCACCTCATGCTGCAGACGGCTGCACTCCAGCAGCAGCACCTCACCAGCGCTCAGCTCCAGAGCCTGGCTGCTGTCCAGCAGGTATGGGCATCCCATCGGCCCTGGGGGTCGCTCAGGGCTGGCAAACCCCTCACCTTTGGCTTTTTCCCAAGGCAAGCCTGGCGGCGAACCGGCAAAGTGGCTCCTCAGGGGGCAATTGCACCCAGCCGGCCCCGGCACAGCAGCCCACAGTGAGTCCCTCAGCCTCTCGGCACTCTCCCCAACCCGTGCTCACCCGTGCAAGCACCCCGACCTTCTCCTGATACCCCATTCCAGATCAACCTGGCGACGTCGCCGGCGGCGGCACAGCTGCTGAACCGGGCGCAGAGTGTGGGGCCCGGGTCATCAGGCATTGCTCAGCAGGCTGTGCTGCTGGGCAACACTGCCTCACCTGCCCTCACCGCCAGCCAGGCCCAGATGTACCTGCGGGCACAGATGGTAAGGTTGGGGCTGGGACATGGCACGCCTCAGCATCCTGATGGGGTGCCCAGGACCATTGGGGTGCCCATCATCCTGTTGTGGGGTGACCAGGACCCACAGAGTGCCCATGGCTGTGCTATGACCCCTTAGGGGTGCTCATTGCTCTGCGTGGCATGCCCAGGACTCATGGGGAGTCCATAGGGTGCCTAGAACCTGTGGGGTGCCCCCACCCTCCTGGGGGTCCGAGGACCTCACAGGGTGCCCATCACCCTGCTGTGAGGTGTGTAGACTTCATGAGGTGCCTTCACTTTGCTGAGGGAATCCAGCCCCTATATAGGGTGCACCCCATGCTCTGGATGCCCAGAGCCCCATTGGGGGTGCCCAAGCAGGTGCTCTTTGCCTTTGCGGGGGTGTTGGGACCCTATAGGGTGCCCTCCTCCCCACTGGTGTGCCTATCCCTACCCTACATAGATAGATACCCATGTGCCACCCTGTAGGAACACAGAGGAGGGACACACAGGGTGTGCCACCCCTGACACGGTGAGCCATGCACCTACTCTCCCTGTCCCCAGCTCATCTTCACGCCCACGGGCCCTGTCAGCACTGTCCGGCCCGAGAGCCCCGCGCCAGCCCCTCCACCGGCCCCGCCACCTGCCCCACCACCCACCACCCCTCAGGTGAGTTTCCCTACCCCTTCCAGGCCCCCAAAATCTGCCCTGGCACCCCTGACCCGCTGCCGTTGCAGGTGCACAGCCTGGCCCTGCGCCCCGCCGGCCCCCACCTCCCTGCCCTGGCCATGAAGCCTCCCGGGGGTGCCCCTCCCCGGGCTGGCCCCCCCCGGGGGCCCCCGCCCGACCCCCCCGCCGAGCACCTCAAAAAGGCCGAGGGGCACGAGGGCCGCACCCATGCCCTGGCCCGCACCACCGCCCCCGCTGCCACCCACCCGCTCGTCACCCCAGGTAAGGGGCTGCTCCGGGGTGGGGGACACCCCTGGGTGCTGGGGGAGTCACGGGCTATTCGCTCTGAAACCTAGTGATGGCCCACACTGCTGTGTCCTGCACATTGTCATCTGCCTGAATTTGGGACCTTGTGGGTCCATCCCCTCACTGGCAGGGGTCCTGCCTGGGAGGGTCTCAGCAACCATAGGATCCCATGGTCCTGTGGGGTGCAGGGGGCTGGGGCAGTGAGGGTGTGAGCCAGGGGACTCCACAGAGTGCTGGAGCCTGGGGTGCTGTACTGGTGTGGCTCCCATAGTTGGGGACCCTCCCTGGGACAGCCTGAGCACAGCTTCCCACATCAGCAGCAGGAGCTGGCAAAGTTGGTTATCTGAGGGCGCCAGAGGGAACAGAGTGAGCAGCAGCCTCCTGGAGGGGGATCCTGGGGGTAGATCCCTTGGGGCTGAGGTGCTGGTGATGAGGGGGGATCTCTGTCCCCATTGCTGTCCCCGCAGCCTATGCCCCACTGCAGCCCCCCCAGTTCCTGCAGCAGCCGCCGAAGCCAATGCAGCCGCAGCCACTGCCGCAGCAGCAGCAGCACTTCGTCATCCAGCCGCAGCAGCAGCAGCAGCAACTGGGCCCCCGTGGGCAGCCCCCCTCGGGCCCCCCCACCGCCCCCCAGCTCCAGCCCCTGCCCCCTGCCAGCCCCGGCCCAGCCCCCCAGCCCAAAACAGGGGTCCCCCAGGGAGCAGGGGGAGAAGGCGGCCCCCCCAACGGGCACCCTGGCTGCCACGCTGCACCCCGCAAGTTCCAGCACGCCTCGGCTGTCATCCTGCAGCTGCAGCCTGCCGGCCCCACGGTGAGAGGTCCCCAGACCTCCCCCCAAACCTTCATGATGAGGGGCCCCCAAACATCCCCCAAAGCCTTCCCGAGCCTCCCACCAAACTCCCCCCCAGTGAGGGGCCCCCAAACCTTCCCCCAAAATCTCATGGTGAGTGGCCCCCAAACCTCAAACCTCCTGCCAAAGCACCTCCAAACCTCCCACCAAACACCTGCGGTGTGGGGCCTCCAAAGCTCCCTGCAGACCTCCTACCAACTTCCCCCAAACTCTAACAGTGAGGGGCCCCCAAGCCCCTTGGTGGGGGGAGCTCAGGGGAGGGAAGGAGGAATGGGGGCACTGGAGTGTGAATGGGGGATGTTGGGGAGTCAGGTGTGTGCACATAGGTGTGGTTGTGCAAGCGCACAATCCCTGCACACGTGTGTGCATGTGTGTTCCTGAAATGTGCATGAGGGCCCAGTTGTCACATCAGTCTGCAGGTGTACAGGTGTGCACGCTCAAGCCACACTGCATGTGTACCTGCTCCATGCACACCTGTGCACACAGGTTTGCCCCCTCCGTAGCACTTGTGTCTGCGTGTACCTCATCCAGTGACATGGGGAGCACACGTGGTTGATCCGTGTGTGTGTGTGTGTGTGTGTGTGTGCACATGTTTGATCCTTGTATGTCTGACCCATGCATGTGTGTACTGGACCTATACACATGTGTGTGCATAGCTTTGCCAGAGGCATGCACATGCATGTATGCACATGTGCATGTGTGTCTGCTCCCTGCATGTGTGTGCATACTAGCTCCCGTGCATGTACACGTGTGTCAGAGCCACATGCGTGCCTGGTCCACGCACGTGAGTGCAGATGTGCTTCCCTGACGCATGTGCGTGTGCATGCGTGCTTGATCCACACGTGTCTGGTGTGTGCATGCATATGACACTCATGCCAGACCCATGCACACGTGTGTTTGTGGCAGTGTGTACAGGCGCCGTGCAGGTCTGCGCAAATGTGCGTGCCAGATCGGGTGTGTCTGGACACATGCCCGACTGCAACACGCGCGTGTGCATGTGCGTGCCCACTCTAAGCACATGCTTGTGTGTGACCCATGCACAGGTGTGCACACTCCAGCCATGCAGGTGCATGCCCCCGTGCCACCTGCACACACACCTGACCCTGCCCCACGCCTGTCCCTGCCACCACAGCCCTCCCTCGGGGTCCCCGAGGGCGCCCGCCGGGACCTGCTGCCCGTGCCGAGGAGCGCCGAGAGCCCGCCTGCCGCCCCGCCGCAGCCCCCCGCCCTCTCGCCGCCCGCCGCCCCCCCGGGCCCCGACACTCCCGAGGGTGAGCGGCCCCTCACGCACGGTAAGCCCTCGCCCTGCTCCCACAGGCACCCACTTCAGGGGGTGATGCACCCCCAGTCCCCGCTCAGGGGGACGTTGAGGCCGGGGGTGCGCGGGGCCGGGCTGTGCTGCGGGGAGGTCCCTCAGCCCACCCGCGTCCACGGGTGACACGGCTGACACGGGTGGGAGGGGTGACACGGGTGCGGCGCCCACCGCTGCCGGTGGGAGGGGCGCGGGCGCCTCGCCTCCCGCCCGGGGGCGCTGTAGGCGCGGCTCAGTGCGTGGGTCGGGGGGCGTGGCCACATCTGGAGGCTCTGCCCCAGCTGCGCGGGACACGCCCCGGGCTGGGGGCGCGTTTACGCCTTGAGTCCCCGCCCCTCTCGGGGCTGCGCTCCGCCCCCAATGGCGGGGGCGCGGGGGGCGGGGTCCCGCGGAGAGGGCGTGTCCGCGCGCCGAGGCTCCGGGCGCGCGCGGCGGCAGCTCCCGCCAATGGGGGCGCGGGGGGCGTGTCCGCGCCAGGCCCCGCCCCCGCCGCCGCCTTTGTCCCCGCTCGGCCCTGGCCCCGCTCCCGGCGCCGCTCCTGCTGCAGCCCCGGCCCGGCCCCCCCGCCATGGCCCCTCCGACCCCCTGAGCGCCCGGTGAGTGAGTGCCGACCGCGGGGGCCCGGCCCGGCCTGGGGCGGCGGTAGCGGTGGCTCTGACCTCACTTCCGCATCCGCCCCCGGCCCCGGTCCGGCCCCGCGGCCCGGGCGAGGGAGAGGCCGGGACAGCGGCAGCCGCCGCCGCCGCCGGACAAAGGTGATGGGGCTGCCGGGGCCTGCGCGGCCTGAGGGTCCCGCCGGGCCGAGGCGGCCTCGAGGGGAGAGGAGCCCGGGCGGGCTAGGGGCTATCGGGCCTCGCTGGGCTGTGCTGTGGCTTTACTGGAGTGTACTGGGCTTTATTGGGATCTTACGGGCGTAGACCGGGCCCTGCTGCGGCTTTATTGCGATGTACTGGGGCCTTACTGGGCTAGTTCGAGCCTTTCTGGGGTCGTACTGGGCTTTGCTGGCGGAAATCGGGGCTTTCCGGGCTTGATCCAGCCTTGTTAGGACCTTACTGGGGGAGATCGGGGCTTTCCGGGGTAGATCGAGCCCCGCCGGGGCTGTACTGGGGCAGATGCGGTCTTACTGGTGCCTTACAGCGTCGCACTGGGGCTTTATTGGTCCTTCTTGTGCTCTCTGGGGAGTGTCCGGACCCCTCCGGTTATTTTGGGGGGCCCTTTAACCCCTTTCTCAGCTCCTCTGGGGCCGCCTGGGGCTGTCTGGGCGGCACTGGTGGCACTGGGAGCGGCAGCAGCTGCTCCCCGTTCCAGCTGTATGGAAATCGCGGCCCCGCGTCAGCGCGGCGTCAGCGCCCGCCCCTCACCCGCGTGTCCCCCGCTGTCCCCAGAGCCCCCCGACCCCCGCCCCTCACCCGCCTGTCCCCCGCTGTCCCCAGAGCCCCCCGAGCGCCTCCATGCGCAGCCCCGCATTCCCGGGATGACCTCGGGCTCCGGCAGCGCTGCCGCCACCGTCGCCGGCGCCGCCCCCCACAATGGTGAGAACAAACCTCCCCAGGCCATCGTGAAACCCCAGATCCTCACGCACGTCATCGAGGGCTTCGTCATCCAGGAGGGCGCCGAGCCCTTCCCGGTAATGTATCCCGCTCTCCAGAGCCGGGGCTTGGGGGCGGTGAGAAGGATCATGGATTTGGAGGGTTGGGAATGTGGTGTACAGTCGGGCTTGAACCCCCAAATCCTCCCCTGCTTCATCATTCAGGAATGGGCCGAACTGTTCTCGATAATCCCGCAGTCTGTGGTTTTATCCCAGATTTGGGGCTCTACATCATTACACGTGTTATTGAGCATTTAGTCATTCGGGAAGGGGCTGAGCCCTTCCCAGTAAGGTATCCCGATGTCCATACCCTTGTTCCTGGGTTTGGGAGGTTGGGAATGTGTCACCCACCATCGTGAACCCTCAAGTCCTCACCCATATCATCAAGGATGCCATCCAGGAAGGTGCAGAACCATTCCCAGTAATGTATCTCTCTCTCTCTGCATCCTTATCCCTGAATTTGGGGGGTTTGGGAATGGGGCATCCAACCAATCATGCCACGCACACCACTCACCCCAAATCCTCCACCCATGTGTGGAGGGCTTCATGACTGACAGTAGGGGAAAAATGTTCCTAGTATGGTATCACCCCTGTCCTTACTCCTGTTTCTGGGGCAGAGGGATATTGGGAATGGGGCATCCAGGCCCTTGTGAATCCTCATATTTTTGAGTTCCTTATTGTGCAGGAAGGGCCTGAGCCATTCCCAGTAATGTATCCTCCTCTACCTGTCCTTGTTCCTGGATGTGGGAAATTGGGAAGAGGGCTGCTGCATTTGGGGCATTGGGAATGGGGTGCCCAGACAATCGTGAGCCCCCAAATCCTCACCCACATTATTGAGCATTTCCATCATCATGGAGGAGAGAGAACTGTTCCTGGTAATATACCTGTTGTCCTTCCTGGAGCTGAGGGATTGGGAGTGGGTCGCTTTGACCACTCTGAACCCCCAAACCCTTGCCCTTGTTATTGAGCACTTCCGCATTCAGGAAGGGGTAGAATCATTCCTGGTAACGTACCCTCCTCTCCTTATCCTCGCTTCTGGATTTAAGGGGTCAGGAATGGGTCACTAAGGAGTAGTTAGACTCCAAATCGACACCCGTGTAACCATCACCCAGGAAGGTGCAGAGCTGTACCTGGTAACACATCCCCCTCTCCTTACCCTCATGCCTGGATGTGGGGGGTTGAGATGGTCCCTGCCAGCCCCATGGCCACAGGAAGGAGTCCGTGTGGTGCAGGGGCACAGGTGCAGCCAGGTGTGTTGCACAGGTGGGCCGCTCCTCGCTGCTGGTGGGGGCCCTGCACAAGCAGTATGCACAGGAGCTGCTGCCGGACAAGCTCCCGCCACAGGACAACACCACCACCACCGACTCGGACATGGAGGAGCCGTACCTGCAAGGTAGCGCCCAGGCCCCCGGCCCACCCAGTCCCCTGGGAGCCCCCTGGGATTTCACCTGGAGTCCCTCGGCTGAGCTGGCTGGTTTCTCTCTCTGGGTGTCCCTCCACGCCCCCCAGAATCCAAAGAGGAGGGGAACCCCCCCAAGTTGAAGTGTGAGCTCTGTGGCCGCGTTGACTTCGCCTACAAGTTCAAGCGCTCCAAGCGCTTCTGCTCCATGGCCTGTGCCAAGAGGTAACCCCTAAAACCCACCCATTCCCTCCTTGGTGGGGTAGAGGTAACCCCAAAAATCCACCTGGGGTGGTGGGAGTAACCCCAAAATTCACACAAGAGTAGAGGTAACCCCAGAAATCCCACCTGTCAGGGGAAAGATAACTTGAAAATCCATTCAGCATGGGAGAGGTAACCCCAAAAAATCCACCCAGTGGTGGAAAGGTAACCCCAAAATCTACCTGCTAGGGTGGGAGTAACCCCAAAATCCACCCTCCCCCTCTGGTGGGGTAGAGGTATCCTCCAAATTCCCCCAGCAGAGTGGGGACTTCTTCGTGACCCATGGTTCTGTGGCAGGTACAATGTGGGCTGCACGAAGAGGGTGGGATTGTTCCACCCAGATCGCAGCAAACTCCAGAAGCCAGGAGGGCCCCCCCACGGGCGGCGCCGCAGCTGCAAAGGGACCCTGCCTCCTCTGAGCAAGGACAGCAAGAAACAGGTGAGGGGGAAAGAAGTTTGTCCCCAGCTGGACATGAGAACTGAGGCCAGGGTTTGTCTCCAGTTGGGTGGGCCTTGAGGCTGGAATTTGTTCCTAGTTTTGGGAATGTGGGGCTTGGGTTTGTCCCTGAATTTTGGGGACACAGGGTGGATGCTGACACCAGGCTTTGGCCTGAGTTGGGGGGACATTGGGTGGGGGCTAAGCCTGGGGTTTGTCCCTGAATTTTGGGAACGTGGGATGGGCACTGAGGCTGGGGTTTGTCCCTGAATTTTGGGGACATGGGGCAAGTGCTGAGGCCAGCGCTGCCCCCGCAGCCCCCGGGTTCTGTCCCAGCGGGGTCGGTGACGGCGTCATTGCAGCTCAACCACAGCCAGGAGGATTCCAGCCGTTGCTCTGACAACTCCAGCTACGAGGAGCCGCTGTCGCCCATCTCCGCCAGCTCCTCCACGTCCCGGCGCCGACAGGGAGAGAGGGACCTGGAGCTGCGGGACATGGAACTGCCGGAAGTGCATGGCCGCGACCTGCCCGGCCTCAGCCACCGCTTCCTGCCCAGTGAGCCCAGCAAGTGGAACGTGGAGGATGTTTACGAGTTCATCCGCTCGCTGCCGGGTGAGGAATGTCCTGGGATGGACAGGGAGGGATTGTCCATACCCATGGATGCCCGGAAGTTTGGTTTTGGGGAGGCTTACGTCCCTCAGGACATGTTCAAGTAGGGATCTACTCTAGGATAACCCCAGAATTGTGTATTTGTGGGGAGATTTATTCACAGAGAAACTCCTAAATATATTTTTGAGTAGGATTTACACACAGATAACCCCATGCATATATTTTTGGGGATGATTTACTCACAGATAACCCATAAATGAAGGAGAGTCTGCTCACAAACACATGAACATTTTGGGGCGGGGGGGGGTGGGATTTACTCAAAGATAAACCTAAAGGATAATTGAAGGAGGGGATTTACATATGATAATTCCCTAAATACATTTTTCAGGGGATTTATGCACAGAGAAGCCCCTAACTGTATTTTCTGGGGATCTGAGAGGGTTTGCTGATGCTGCCTCTCCCCACAGGCTGCCAGGAGATTGCAGAGGAGTTCCGGGCGCAGGAGATCGATGGGCAGGCGCTGCTGCTGCTCAAGGAGGATCATCTCATGAGCACCATGAACATCAAGCTGGGCCCTGCACTCAAGATCTACGCCCGCATCAACATGCTCAAGGACTCCTGAGGGGGGGGTGGCCACAGGACCCCATTCCCCCGGCGAGATCCCTGGTCCTTCTGGGAGCCCTGCAGGACCCCGACTCCCCACGCGGCCCCAGGGAGGGGGCAAGGGGGGGAAGACACTTGTGAGCACACCCTGCCCCCCCTTGCCCCCCAGGGGGTGTAAATAGCCCGTAGCTCTAGAGTCCCACCCCAGTTTGGGGGGGTCACCCCCCTTTTCCAGCAGGGAGGGGGGGTCCCCACACGTCCCCCCATGTCCCTCCCAAGTCAGCAGAGCCAAGCAGGACGGTTGCCTTAACACGTGCTCCCTCCCCCAGGTGGGTTTTGGGGCCCCCAGGGAAGCTTGGACTTCCCCTCCCCCCAAAGAGGGTCAGGGAGAGGTGGGGGGCGCAGAGGAGGCGTCACCCCCCCGTTCACACACACCCACACACACTGGGCTGTTTTGGGGGCACCTTAGCAGAGGATGGTGGGGGGCCCCTCCCAGGCAGGTAAGGACCCCCCCAACTCACCCCTCAGCCAGCACGATCTTTTTAAGAAAAGAAAAGGAAAAAAAAAAATGAAAAAAACACATGGCCCTACCCCTTCTCCTGTTTTTTGTTTTTGTTTTTAATAAACACTGAAAATAAAAAAACAACCTGGGACCCTCCCAGTTTTTTTCACTTCCACCCCCCAATTTCTTCTCATGTAAACTGAGGCAGCAACTTGGGGATGTCCCCAAGTGCTGCCCTGGGTGGTGGGACTTGGTGTGGGCAGTGGGGACAGGGTTGTTATTGTGTTACCTGTGTGACCCTGGGCGTCCCTGCTGCCCCCCAAATTGGGAGGTGGCAGTGATGTTCCCCTCCCAGGAGCCTGTGGTGAGACACTCACACCTCCAGGTGACCCCCAAGTCCCACTGCTTAGGGGGACACAGGGTCCCAAAGTAGGTGAGGTGGGGAGGGGGACATGGTGGCACGTCCCTGGAGACGGTCTCGGGGGTGGGGGGTGACACATCCCTGGAGCCGATGGGCCTGGTGAGGGGGCCTTGGATGTAGCATCTGTATTTCAGGTGTCCCCAGAGCTGGTGGCCATGGAGATGGTACCCACTGTGACATGTCCCTGAGGCTGGTGGCTACAGTGTGATGACCCAGAGCTGTGGCCACCATGGAGTGAGTCCCTGGAGGTGGTGACAGGTTCCTGGGGGGTCCCCACATGGCAACACTGAGCTCTCCCTGGGGTTGGAGGCCACACTGAGGTCTCACCTGAGTTTGTGGCCATGGTGAAGTGTCCCAGGCCACAGTGAGATGTCCCCAGCAGTGGTGGCCACAGTGGACTGTCCCTAGAGCTGGTGTCCCCAGCGGTGGGTCACTCACACCCCCCACCAGGACCAGGAGCCACCACCTTCACCCTGAGACACCAGTGACCAGTCACTGGGCACTGTGCCACCCCCTTCCCTGGGGAAACTGGGGACAACACACCTGAGGATGAGCCACAGTTTCATCCTCCCCTCCTGCAGCCCCACAGGAACCAGGCCCCCCACCTGTGTCCCCAGATGTCCCCACTGGCAAGTCTCCTCCCAACATATTTCCCCTCCTCCCCAACCATAACCCCCCAATTTCATTAATTCCTATTTTGGTATTTTTTTGTTCTGTTTTATTCTCTTTTTTTGGAAAGGGGCTGGGCTGGGGGAGTTTCACTCCTTTTCCACACTGTGAGGCTGTGCCCCCCCAGCTTCTCCAGGAATCACAATGCAGGACAGGGGGGTGGAAACAACAGGGAGAGGGACAACTTTTTGTCCATTTTCTCCTCTTTTTTCTTTTTTTTTTTTCTATTTTTCCCCTTTTTTAATAAGGTACCAACTAACGCTAGAGAGGCCTGGCCTGGCTGGGCAGCAAGGAAAATAAAAAAGCCCCAGAATTTGGGGAAAGGGGAGAAAAAAGGGGGCCTAAGTGTATAAGAGGCGTATTTACACAGTATTAACATGCTGACAAAAAAAGTTACAATATTGATATCGTACAACATCGACGGGAGAAATAATGGGGGCTAAAAATAAGGGGATGAGGGGAAAAATAATAGGGGGGTAAAAAATAATAGGGGGGGGTTAAAAATTAATAAAAGGTAAATAAAACACCCTGGAAAAAAAAAAAAGAACAAAAACCAAAGAAACGCTGAGTTAAGGCTTAAAAAGTGTATAAAAAATAACACAGTTAATATCCAAAATGAACCAAAAAGTACAGAATATAGATGAGTTTGGGGGGAGTGCCCCCCGGCTCTATACAGGGGGTATGTACAGGCAGGCACAAGGCAAAGCAGGGGGACCCCCAAACCCCCCAAAACTGGGGCTGCGGAATAGGGGGGCCGTCCCCGGGGGGTTGCAGCTCTGCCTGCAGCTTCGCCTTTAAAAGGGACCCCAAATGAACACAAAAAAACCCCCAAAATGGTTAAAAATCAACCCTAAATGGAGGCGCTTGGGCCCAGAGTCTGGGGGGGGGGGTGGTGGGACTTTCCCCCTCCCCCAGCTGCTTTTTGCTCCATCCACGGTTTGTTTTTGGGGTGAATTTCTGGTCTTTAGCAGCACCAAGTTCTTGGCCAATAAATATATATATATATATATATATATATTTGTATCCAAAAATGGGGGGCAGGACAGGCCTGTCAGGGGGGACACCCCCACCCCTACTGACTTCCCCCAAAGAAACCAAACCGCAGAGATTCAAAGTGCTCTGAAACCGTCTTTGGATGTCACCAAACCTGCGGGAGCCGGGCAGGAGCAAGGCCCAGGCACAGCCCGCGGTGCTGGGGGTCACGTCCTCCTCCTCCTTCCTCCTCCTCTTCCTCCTCCTTGTTCTGGGGGGTCCTGTCCCCTCCCCGCTTAGATGAGGGAGATCCGTACAGGAATGCCGGGCGACTCCGTCCGCTGCGGCGAGTGCTGGCTGACCAGGTGCTCCACCACCGTGTGTTTGGACATGTGCTTCATCAGATAGGTCTCCTGTGGGGGGCACAGGGGTAAGCAGGGGGCTGCGGGCTGGGGGCAGGTTCTGGGGCATCCCCCATGCTCACCGAGGTGTAGGCACGGCCACACATGCTGCAGCAATAGGCCTTGGCGTGCTTGATGGCGTGTGCCGACAGGTGGATCTGCAGGGAGGCCGAGTCTGTGTACGCCCGGTAGCAGTTGGGGCACTTGTAGGGCTTGTCCTTGTTGTGCTGGCGCTGGTGGGACTGAGGGAGCACAGGGAGTCAGGGGGGACCATGGTGACCCTGTGCCCTTTTCCCCAGGTCCCCCCACACTGACCTGGAGGTTGGAGAGCTGGGTGAAGGCCTTCTCGCAGCCGGGGTGCGGGCACTTGTAGGGTCTGTCACCGGTGTGGATTCTGAGAACACACACATTGGGTCATTGTCACCTACCCTTCAACCACCAGGGACAGTGCTGATGGCATCCACGGGGTCACATCTGAGTGGGGGGTTACAGTGGGCACAGCGACATCAGTGCCCCAGGAGGTGACAGGGGAGAAGGCAGGGATACACGAGGCTGAGAGATGGGGTCGGGAAAGGATGAAAGTGCTGGAAACTGTGAAGGTGGTTGGGATGATGAATGTGGAAGAGATGGACTGGCATGCATGGAAAGATGACCACAGTGGGGTCATTAAAGGCGGTGGGTGTGTGGGGGCATGGTGAGGATGAAGAAAGCGGTGGAAAAAAGCACAGATGCTGAGATGGCTGAGGAGATGGCTGAGCGTGGTGGGACCAATAAAGGTAATGGAGATGATGAGCATGGTGGCACGATGGTGAGTGTGGTCGGAAAGAAGGCAGTAGAGACAATGGAAGTATCAGAGACTATGAAGGTGGTGGAGGATGAGCAGAGTGGGGATAAGGAAGGCTGTGGAGTCAGATTGGCATGGTGGGGATGATGAAGGTAGTGGAGATGATGAACATGGTGGAGCCCATACAAGTGCTGAAAATTATAAGTGTGGTGGGGATGATAAAGGCAAATGCAGACAGCCAGTGTGGGGGGAAATCAATGAGCACAGTGGGAGGGATGAGTGAGATGGAGACTATGAAGGTGCTGGAGACGATGGGGGATGATGATGGAGATGATGGCAGCAGGACCAACAAACAGAGCAGGGCCATAAAGGATGTCAGAAGAGATTGGTGGGTGTGTGGTGCCCACCTGCCCCCCTCCCTGGACTGCGGGAACAAGTGTCCCCAGCCCCTCAGCGGGGCCCTCACCGGGTGTGCTGCTGGAGGTGGGAGAGCTGGCGGAAGGACTTCTCACAGTAGGAGCAGTGGTAGGGTTTGACGCCCAGGTGGATGCGCAGGTGCTGGGCCAAGTAGGAAGCATTGGCGAAGGACTTGGAGCAGTGGGGGCACTTGTGGGGCTTGGCCTCTGTGTGCGACTTGGAGTGGATCTGCATCTCCGACTTGGTGAAGAACGTCAAGGGGCAGACCTTACACCTGGAGGGTGTGGGGGAGAACCCCGCAGGGACCGGGCTGGGGTGGGGGGGCTCCCCGCCATCGCCCCCAGCCCCCTCAGCGGGCGAGGGTGTGCCTACCTGTACGTCTTCCCCTCTTTGGCCGTCTCCCCTGAGGCCAGGATGGGGTAGGGCACCACCAGCACCGGCGGTCCCGAAGGGTTTTCCGCCTTGATCTTTTTCCGGCCCCGCTCAGCCTTGGGTGCTCCCAGCAAGCCGTGGCCCTGGATTGTCTTGATGGAGTCGAGGAGGGGGGGGCTGGTGATTCCTGAGATTAGGGTGGGTGAGGAGGCGATGAGGCGGCTCTGGCTGGTGGAGGTGGGGGTCGAGGGGGTGGTGGTCCCCGTTCCTGGGCTGGATTCTGAGGTGCTGACGGCCGGTGCACGGGATGCCAGCCCCAACCCTGGTGGGCAATGTGATAAGAGCATTAATCTTGAGGGGACCCACATTCCCCTCTGCCCCCCAGACTGGCGGGACCAGCGGTGGTGTCTGTGACAGTACCTGTGACAGTGCTGGTAGCTGGCCTGGCGTGCAGGGCCACATCAGGCTGGGGCACGGCCTGGGGATGCAGCCCCGGCACCTGCTGCAGCTTTGGCAGGGACATGATGGACTGGCTGCTCTCAGCAGGCGAGGGGGGCACCAGGAGGGGCTGCTGCGAGGCCACCGAGGTGGGAGGCAGGTGCGGGGGGCGGATCTTCTCCGCCATCAACTGCTCCTTGATTTTGTTGATCAGGACCAGGTTGTCCAGCTGAGGGGGGAGAAGGCAGAGAGGTGGGTGAGGGCAGAGAAACTGGGACCCTTAGGACCCCCAGCCTCCTCATCAGTGTTCTCCACATCCATTCATCCTCTCTTGTCCCAAAACCCCAGTGTAGGGGACTTACCTGGCTGGGCATGGTGGGGGGGGGTGGCCAGAAGTACGGGTTGTTGAAGCGAGGCTCCGCCATCCTGGGGAGAGAGGGATGCGGTTACGGGTCATCACTGGCTGCCACATGGCCCCTCCACCCTTCCAGCTTCAATCCCCCAAAACCATCACTCCCCCAAGAAGTAAAACCCAGACTCTGAGCAAAGGCAGGGAGCAGGTGGGGGGGGGGGGCAGGACTGGAGAACCCCCTGAGCATCTTCCCAGATGAAAATTCCTGTAGGATTAGGGGGACACCAAGCACCTGCCTGCCTCCAAGACCACAAAACACTGGTGAGTGCACTAGGACACTATTTGGAAAAGGAGGAAGCTGAAATTTGGGGAAAACCCCCAAATCTCCCGAGCTCTGGAAGTATTGCTCCCATCCAGGAAGGGATCAGAGGTGGATGGGATGCTGCCATAGGAGAGGGTGAGCACAGCAGCACACTGAACCCAACAGCAATCCCAGCTGAATCCCCCACCCAAAATATGCCTTCAAAGCCAAGTGAAGTGCCTGTGACACCCAGGAGCAGCTCAACAGGAACACCCAGAACCAGCAGGGCTGGGAGATTTATTTAGATGCTTGAAAGCATTGGGAAAATTAATTCTATATCCATGTTTGGGTAATGGTAAACAGCTGGAAGGGGACAGCAAGAGGATGATCCCAGCAGAGCAGCCCAGCATGACCAGGCATCACCATCCCAGCAAACCCCATTACAGGGGCATGAGGGTAAGCATCTGTAGGACCCCAAAGGGATGCATGGGACTGGGGCCCCCGGGCGCTCTGGCTCCAAAGTAAACCAGGCCATGGCCAGGATTCCAGGAGAAACTAGAGCGATGCCTCCAGGAAAGTGCATCCCCAGAAGCTTTGGGGCGGGATTTGGGAACAATGAACCTTTCCCTTCTTTCTCCTCCTCCTCCTCACACTCGCTGCCCCAGGTTTCAAACACACTGAGCTCCCCAAAGGCAGGTGGGCAGCACCCACAGAAACGGAATCCTGGTCTCACCAGAATGTAACATCCCAACAGCTACCCCAGCCTGAAGAAGCTGTGGGATGGACCATCCCCATTTTGGGGAGAAACCAAGGCAGGGAGAAGGAACCACCTGCCCCGTGCACTACAGAGCAGCCTGGAACAGGACGAGGTACGTTCCAGGGCATCAAGGAATGGGAGCAATTTCTCATGGCACACCTCAACCCCATGGCCTGTCCAGGACACAACCCAGACATCAGCTTTGGGAATTCCCCTTCCCAGTTTTGAACCACTTGACCACTCCAAGTCACCTCCTGACTGCTTAAGCACCAAATTTTAGGGTTTTGAAGTGATAGCAGGGCCGGATCCCAGTCGCACAGGCGGAGACAAAGTCCCGCTCCATGCCACAGAACAGGAATTCAGGAATTCACTGGGGATGTTAAATGCACCTGCATGGACGCAGCCGCTGCCAGCTATTTTGTGTAATTATATATGTACCCACAGGCCGCCCACAGCATGCATTTACCCACTGGCTACGTATGTGTATGTGTACGTGTGTGTGTATACACATATATAAGATCTCTTGGGATGATGGGCACAGGATGAAGGACACTAGTGCCAGCATAAGGGGCTGGACACCAGGAACCAGGGACAGAAGTGGAACTGGTAGTAGGGTTGTAAAGATGCAGGCAGTGAGCAGGAGCTCAGGCAGGAAGCCTCTGAGCCCCCGTGGCATGACCAAGCACCCCTTCACCAAACCCCCCACCCCAGAGCAACCGTGGGAAAACAGGAAACCGGAGCTATGATTAGAAAAGGGTTTTTTGGAGCTGATCCCCCATCTCAGCAGGTGCCCTGTGACCTCTGTCCTTCCCATCCATCCATCTGTCCATCCTTCTCCCTGTCCTGATATCATGCCGGGCTCCAGCGGAGCCAGCAGCAGCACCCACACAGATCAAAGCCCCCGAACCATCACCAGGACACGGCACCAACCCCTACACCAGTCCCAGGATCCTTCCTGCAAAGCTGGAGGGGGCTGAAAAGGCACGAAGGGTATTTTGGGGAGAAAAGCATAAATATCACATGTTTCCCCACCCCCACCCAAGCAGGGCTTACTAAAGAAATGAGAAATTATTTGTAAAACCACCACACTTGGAGCTGGATGAACTAGAGGGAAGAAATGGTCAGTGTTGCCAAAATAATTATAAAAATCCCTGTTCCTGTCCCGATTTAATGTTACAAATTGTGCGGTGTTTCGTCAGAAACGGCGTCCCTTTCTCTGGGGCTAGGAAACGGAGTGGGAGGGGGAAGAAAGCAGATGGAAAAAAAAATACATATATATAAAAACTCCCTTTTCTCTATTCTCAGCTAACTATGAAAAATGGAAGCTGACATGCAGCAAAGGTGGAAAAAAAAGAAAATCCATTAAAATGGAAATTATGAAAGGTAGGGAATGCTGCGGCACGTCTCCCCCCAGCTCTGCAGGACACAGGGGGTAGATAGGGCTCCCTGTGCCTCCCCAGCTTTTGGCTTGGCAGGGGGAACCCCTCTTGGGTAACGTCTCCAGTGGCATGGGATCCTATGGGCCAAACCATGGTGGGAAGAGCCTCTGACATCCTCCACAGGGACCAGATTTGGCTGCTGAGGGGTTGTCAGAGTCTATCCCCAGGGACAAAGTGGGTGCCCAAAGCATGGTGGAGAACCAAGCAGCCCAGCCAGAGGAGAGGGATGTGAGAAGAGCAAGCAGGAAGATGCACAGAGCCCCAAAACCATGGGCTGAACCTCAAATTCCCAGAACAGCACAGTACTCGGCATCATCGCTCAGCCGGGCCAAGGGGGGAAGCAGCAGCACCCTACAAAGAGACCAGAAGCCTCCTCGCCTCCACACCCATGGGGAAGGAAGAGCAGGAGAAGCTGGCAAGCCAGGGCTGGGGGTGGCAAGGGGAGAGCGGGGGTGGTGGCAGCGAGGGGGCGGCAGTGTCAGGGCCGTCAGGTTCGGCGGTGATTGGTACTCACAGGGTGGCCTCTGGAGCCAGGTGGGCGCAGCTGCCTGGGGAGACGTGTCGCTGAGGCTCCAGATTGATGGGAGGTAGATGATGGCACGGGTGGGCACGAGCTCACTAGAGCCTTCCAACTTCCTACCCAACTGCCGCTAAGTCAAGCTACAGTTCTCTAGGGAACGCCTCTACCTTGGCAGCCCTCTCTGTCTCGCCTTCGCTGAAATAAAAAGAAACAAGAGATTTCTTTTCACGGCACAGCCGAGAGAAAAGGGGCAGCTCCCAGGGACCGGCGAGCGACCACCGACCTGGTACAGCCTGAAAGTGGGGGGTCTGGGAGGCGAAGGGAGGGATTTGGGGTGACCAGAGCAGCACTTGGTAGCTAAACATGTCCTCAACCAAGCAAGACATCAAGTTTGGTGTCCCCAAGTATCCCAGCAAGAGCATCAGGGCAGAGCTCCCACCCTCCATGCCAAGCAGCGAGCGCAGGAAAGCCGGCGGTGGCCAGAGACGGCGCATTGGGGAGAACCAAGCTGGGGGACTGATGCGCATTCCCCCACCCAAATCTCAGCACGTCCTTCCCAACACAGGTCGAGCAGGGATGGTGACGCTGGCCTGGGCATGTCCCTGTGCCAGGGAACCCAGCTCTGCCTTGCACCATGCCTCAGTTTCCCCCTCAAAACACAGGGCCAGGGCCCCTGTCCCCTCTTAAGAACAGGTTTCCCTGGGGTTCACCTGGAGCAGGAGAAGTTTTGGAGGGAAAGCAAATGCTCATCCACAAAACCTGCGTCCCAAAGTCACCAGGGCAGGAACTGGCATCTAGCACTATCCTCAGGGAATGCACATCTCTCCCTAACCAAACTGTCCTCATCCAGGCGGGATTCACCCCAAGGCAGAGGGGGCAGAAGGCAGGCATGGCTGCGAAGCAGGAACGCCGGGCGAGCCCCCTGTGGCTCGGGGAGGGGGTGGCCCGCACACCACAAGAATTCACCCAAGATGGAACCAATTAAACCCCCGGCTTCCGCCCCCCGAAGGGCCCTGGGCTGGGGCTTCTCCTTCTGCATTTCCAGCAAAACCAACCCAAAATGAGCCCCCAGCCTGGACCAAGGGTCCCTGTGCAGGAAAAGGGATGCACGGGGCAGGGTGAGAAGCCAAGAACCAGTGGCAAGCGGGAGGGAAGGTAAAGCTGTGCTGGAGACCCCCACGGGGTCCCCAGCTGTGGGGTGCAGGAGGGGGGACCAGGGTGGCAATGCTCCCAAAAGATGGGGGCCAAGGCAGTGTGACCCCAAATCCACAGTTTGGGTCCAGTGACCCAGAAAAGGGGACACAGGGACAGCCCACAGGGAGACCCAGAGCCCATATGGTGACACACCAGACACAGGGGACACGTGCCCCACAAAACGCTCCCCACCCTGGGAGGTCCTGCTCCTGCAGACCCCAAATACACCCCCCCTCCAAAAGAGACCAGCAAGGCACCCTGCAAGGCAAAGGCAGCACCGCAATCCAGCCTGGGAGCAACTGCCCACCCCTAGCAGCACAGGGGTCACCCATGGGTGACAGCACGCAGGGAAACCGAGGCACAGGCAGGGGATCGCCCCGAGGAGAGAGTAAGAGCACTGGATCCAACATGCACTTGTGACATTGCGCCCAATGACCAGAAATCCACAATTTTAAGGGAAAAAGCAGAAGGTGGGGGGGTTGAGGGTGAACGTTATTATTTTATACATATAAAGGCACATTTCTTAAAAGGGAAATATCAAGGGGTCACACATACGCCAGGAGCAGGGTCCCCTCCCTGCACAGGGGGCAGGCAAGGAGTCCCTCACACCCCCAAAATACCCAAAAAAATACCATGCCCCCGCTTATAGAGAAATATATATGTCCACATATAATATCTGGATTCCAGTGTGCATATATATATTATTTTTATAAGCACACATATAATGACATGCATGCACATTGTTACGTTAGATGCTATTTTAAGATGTAAATGTATAAAAAAGCAGGGATTTTTTTCTCCCTGTGATCCCCTCGATCCAGCCATCATGCCCACCTCTGCGAGTACTGGCGTTGCTTCCCCTTATCCGCGTCCATCTCCAGCTCTAGCTGAGACCGGGTGCTGCACGTGGGGCGTTTTTCTACGGGGGGACAAGGAGGAGGACAACTTCACACACCCCGAACCCCCCGCCAGCCCCCGGCGCGCGAGATCCCACAGCGGAGGAACAAAAGCGAAGCGGCTCCGACCTACCCGACCCGTGAGAACGTGGGGTTTTGCCTGAAAATAGAGAGAAAACAACAAAAAAAAGGAAAATAAAAAAGAATAATAATAATAATAAAAAAAAAATAGTGGGTTTTTTTATAGCCCTGCTCGCCCCCAAGCTGTTGGGAAAGCTGAGGGATGGGGAGCTGGCTGGAAAATTGGGGGTAAAATCCATCCCCTCACCCTAGACCCTCCGCCTCTTGGCAAATCGCACACCATGAGGGACTTAAAAAACTTTTTTACCTCTCTGCTAAAATATCACTTTATAATCTCAAAGGCCTCGGGCTTGAAGCCGCTTTCACCTGCTCCATCCTCCCTGGGTTAAAAAACCCGGCTGCTATCCGAAGGACCGCAGGCTTGGGGGGGAAAAATAACCCAACAAGGAGCATCCTCCAACCTTGAAGGGAAAAAAAGAAATCAAAATTATCAGATTCATCATTCCTGGGTTCAAATCCATCACTGTGGCCACGCCGGCTCTAAGCTGCCCCCCCAGGCCCCCTGACGTGGCCGGGAGATTATGAATGTATAAATAGTATATTGCTAAATATATGTTGGAGAGGGACAGACAGACCTCTGGGACACAGCCACAGAAATTTGGGTCCCTTGCTAAAGCTGCCGCATTCCTGCCAAAAATGCCATGAAAAACAATATCTCCCCCCTCCATTAGACCTTCCAGCCAGCGAGACCACTTTTCTAGACAAAACCAGTTAATGCAGAAAACACTGAAGAAAAGGAGGAAAAGAGGAAGGAGAAAAGGAATTAAAATGGTGAAAATTATAATAATGGTGATTATGAGGATGGTAATGATAATATTCAGTCCCTGCACTGCTTCTGTCACCCCCTGTAAGCAAAAAAAGTCAGAAAAAAGCCAAGAATGCATAAAAAAAAAGCAACCCCCCCCCTAAAACATGCAACATCCACAAAAATAGGTACGTTCCGCTGCAATTAACTTTTCCATTAGACCATCCAGAGGGAAAGAAAAAGGGAAAATTCTGGTAAATGGGTATTTTCCTCGATGTTCCCCCCCCTCTTTCCCCCCTTTTTTCTCTTTTCCTTCTTCTTCCTGCGTGGAGTGGGGGGGTGGCGGAATAATGATGGTAATAATGAAAAAAAAGAGGTGGAAAAAGGCGAAGTTTGGTTAAGTGAAGTTGAAATTCTCAACCTGGGAGGGGATTTGCGGGGGGGGGGTGAGGTTTGACAGACAAAAAGGCCGGGGGATGGGGGTGGAAGGGGGGTTTGGGAAAGGGGGGGGTGGCCCGGCTGGGTGCTCCCCCCACCCCCCCTCCATCCGCCGCCTCTCCCACATTCTCAGACGTTTTTATTAAAATTCGCAGACAAAAGGCAAACAAAAATGGCAGCCCCGGCTTATTTTTAAAACGCTAGGACGGGGACGCCATGTTCTGCAGGGCTGAGGGGAGGGGGAAGGGGGGGTGAGGGGGGAAAAAAGGAGGGAAATTTTTTTAAAATATTGATTTAGATGAAAAATGAATAAAAAGCAGCTCGAAGAGTGGGGGGAGGGGGGGGAAGTGTGTCAAGGTCCCCCTTTTCCCGCTCGCCCCCAGGGTGCGGGGGGTTTCGGGGGGTTTTGAGGTGTTTTGGAGAGGGGACGGGGGGGTGGAAAGGGAGGGATAAGGGATATAAAAAAAATAATAAAGCGAGGGGGGGGAAGGTAAAAAAAAAAAGACACTTCCTATACCGACAGCCATGGTGCCCCGCCGTCCCGCCGGCTCCGCCGCACGGAGGAAGATGGAGCCCCGCGCCGTCCCCCCGCCGCCGCCCCCGCCCCCGGCCCGCCCGGCCCCGCCGCCGCCACCGCCCGCCCAGGGACGGGCTGGGCTGGGGCACCCCGGCCCGAAGGGGCTTCCCGGGACCTGCAGCCCCCCGAAACCGCCGCAGCCCCAGGAGAGCTCGGCAAAGCTCCGCAGCCTGCGGTTCCCTCAGCCCCGGGAGGGGTCCCCCATGCCCGCAGACCCGCAATCCCTCTTGGCTCCCCAAAACTCGTCAGCTCCCCAAACCCCCTCAGGCCCCCCAAGCCCGCTCAGCTCCCCGTTTTCCGCAGCCCGTTATGGCTCCCCAAAGCTCCGCAGCCCCTGGTTCCCTCAGGCCCGGGAGGCGTCCACAGCCCCCCGAACCTCCTCAGCCCCATCAGGGCTCCCGGTTCCCTCAGCCTCCAAAACCTCCTCAGCCCGCCAGTCCCTTCGGCCCCGGCAGGGCTCTCCAAACCTCCTCAGCACTCCAAACTTCATCGGCCCCGGGAGAGCTCCCCACGGTCCATAGCCACCCAAAGCCTCCTCGGGCCCCCAAATCTCCTCAGCCCCTCAAGCCCCCTCACCTCCCCAAACCCCCTCAGCCCTGTCAGGGTTCCCTGGTTCCTTCAGACCCCCAAATCTCAGCCTCTCTAGTTCCCTCAGGTGCTACAAGTTTCCTCACCCCTCAGATCCCCTCAGTTCTTCTCAGCCTGCCCCACTCCCTCAGTATCACCAGCCCACCCAAATTTCCACAACCCTCAAATCTCAGCCCACATAGTTCACCTCAGTACTGCCAAAATCTCCACAGACACCCATTTCCCCCCAGTCCCCAGTTCTCCTCAGCCCACCCAAAGTTCCTAAATGCCCTGGATCCCCTCAGCTCTCCTCTGACCCTGCCAAGTCTCAGATCCCTCAAACCTCAACTGTGCGGCTCCCTCACTGCCTCTGGGACTTCTCAGTGTCCTCACCTCCCCAAATCTCCTCAGCACCTCCAAATCTCCTCATCCCCCCTGTTCCTCTTAGCCCACCCAAAGCTCCTCAAATGTCCAGATCCCCCTAGACCCTCAGTTTCACTCAGACCCCGCAAAACCTTCTCAGATCCCCCAAATCTCAGACACGTCCCCAGATCTCCTCAGACCCCCAGTTCCACTCAGATCCCTCCAAACCTCATCAGATACTCCAGATCCCTTCAGTTCCTTCCATTCTCTTCAGCTTCCTCCAGCCCCCCACCTCAAATCTCCTCATCCCCTCCCAGTTCCCTCAGCACCTCCAGGACTCCTCAATGTCCCCACCTCCCCAAATCTCCTCAGACCCCTCCCAAACCTCTTCAGGCCCCACAAATCTCCTCAGACCCCCAGTTCCCTCAACCCTCTCCAGGTCTCCCTAAACCCCTGCCCTCCCCTAAAACTCTTCAACCTGATTCCCCTCAGCCCCTTCAAAAGCTTCTCATGCTCCCAATTCCTCTCAGTCCCCCCAAGCTGTCACCCCTCCATTTCCCCTCAACATATGCAAAGCTCCTCAGATCTCTTGATTCTCTTCAGCCCCCTTGGTTTTCCTCAGCCCGACACCCCCAACCCCTCCAGTTCTCCTCAACCCCCCTGAACTCCCTTAGCCCCTCAAATCTCCTCAGCCACCCCCAGGTCCCCCAACACCCTGCCCCTCCAGTTCTTCTACCCCCCCAGTTCTCCTCAGTTCACCCCCACCGACTCCCCTCAGCCCCTTTGTGAGGCTCCACAGCCCCCTCAGGGACACCCCCAGTTCTCCCTGTACCTCCTCATCCCCCTGAGGATCCCCCCATTTCCCAGGAGATCTCCAGCCCCTCTCAGGGTCTCCCCGAGTCTTGGGGGCCCCCCAGCTCCTCTGTGGGTCTCTCGTAGCCCCCCAAATCCACAGACAATACCTACAGGGGAAGGAAAAGCAGGGCAAATCCCATCCATTCCCCTTCTCCTAGGTTCAGGGGATTGACCCCTGGAACTTCTGAGTTTCCACTTTAAAAATTACTTCAAAAAAAACCCACAAAATTACGGCTCTTTTTCATGTTTTCCCAAAATGTTCTGTCACAGAGGAGGATGGAGAGGAGATGAAAGGAAATGATGCCTCCAAGAGAGATGGGAAATGGGAAAGGATTAGGGATGGCATGGAATGAGATGGGATGAACACCCAAAAGGTCTCCACCACAGAGTGGACATCGCTTTGCAGCTGCCCGGGATGTCAGAAGCCCCTGGAACAAGTTCTGGCCATGGCAATGGAACTGGGACAGAGGCACCGTCCCCTGTGGGACCTCTGGGCCTGTCCCTGGCTCTCCCCACATTCCCACTGCTCTGTCAGCCCTCCAGGCAGAATCCCCCATCACCCAGCACTTCCCCATCCTGGAAGGTCCCCATGTCCATCAGTTATCCATGACTCAACCAAGAACCTGAGGCAGCTCCAAAACTCCCTTTTTATCTGATTTTTGGATATTGACACCCAGAAGTTGCCACCTGGCATTGTTGTCACCCCAAAATGGAACACTGGGAAAGCCTGGATCCCCCTAGAGCTTCCCTGATGTCTGAGTTCACCCTCGCTGGGTTAATTTCCATCAGGGCTTTCACTTCTGCTGTGGGATTTTTTTCCCTGTGATTAAGAAACTGGTGGTTTTAAACCTCAGCACCAATTTAGGCATTTTCTGATTTTTTTTTTGTGGGGGGAGTGGAATTATTCAATCCCAACTCTGCATTGGGAGGAGACGGTGTGGGTCACTGCTGAGCTTGTGGGATCCACCAAGGACTGGTGAACATCTCCTAGGATTTTTCTTGTTGGGACTGGCTGGGATAAATGACACTCCAGGCTTTTTTTCCGACCCTACTTTGGGTGGATTAGTCTTGGGTGTGGGAAAGGGGCCCCTTTCCTGGGAAGGTGGTTGGTATGCAGAGAAAAAAAAAAAAAACAACAGCAAAACCCATGCCCAGCTCCATCCCAGGCTGGAAAATGAAGGAAATTAGCGCTTGCCTGCTGAAAAAATATGATTCCAAGGGTGGTTTTTCTCCCAGGATAGATCCAACTGCGATTAAAAGGAATGGAAAGCAGGAGTGGAAGGAAATCATGCTGGAATCACCAGCAGAGGGTTTCGGCAAAGCCACGGGGCCATTAGATCTGTGCAGAGCAGCGTATCCTTCCTATTCCAGCAGCACCAGGAAGCCAGATCCATCCAGGATCTCCAGCTGACTCAGCAGAGAAAAGGAAATTTTTATGGATAACAAAGGGGGGTTTTCCAGTGAGAAATGTGGCCTTTAAGTGGTGATACTGGGATCCCAGAGAACTTTTCCAGTGTTCCCAAAGTCTGTGTCCCAGATCATGGCACGCCAGGAAGGGAATTCTTTGGGAAACACCTTCATCACACCCACCTACTTGTTTCCTTCCCCAAAAATCCCTTGTTTTCTGTAAAAGTATGGTTGAAAGGACCTACCAGAGTGGGTTCCCCAGGGTGGGTGGGCACACCAAGCATTGGGGATGCCAGTATTCCCAGTGCCAGCTATCCAGATGAGGGAAAATGTTCATCCCAGGCTTCTTGGCATTAGCAACCCCAAAAAATAGTTTTTCCTCCCTGGATTGGCAGCCATGGGGAGTACAAAGGGCACTGTCTGATGCTAGTGTGAAGCAAACATGGAGGTTTTGGGGTGTTTAGTAAATGCTGGAAAAGAAATCCCCTGAGGTGCCAGAATTTCCCATCTCCCTGCAAAGGGGAGAGCCCTTGGGCCCTAATTAGGTAACAAGTTAATTAGGATTAATTAGTTACTGTTTGCAAAGCACTACAGAGATGAAACATGTCAGTGTGGGGAAGTATTCCTGCTTCCTCTATGGAGGAGTGAAGGATCCTCCTTAGGAAGGGGGTCTATAAACAAAGCTGGGGTTAAACCCAGTGGGATGGTGCACTCCGGGAGCAGGCGGGATGCTCCCGGCATTCCAGCAAGGATGTGTCTCCATGCCAGGATGGAAACACACATGCCAAGGGCTGAGCGGGCACGTCCCAGCGTGCCCATCCTACCAGTGGCAAGGGGGAACATTCCAGCACTGTGGCTCTCCAGGGCCTCCCTCCCTTGCCGCCAGCATTCCCGGCACACGCAGCACGCGTGGGGAGGAGACAGGTTTTCCCTGGCCACCGGCTTTGCTGGATCTCCCGAACCCTTTCCACACCTTTCCACACTGTGGAATCCTCCGGCCTGCGAGAACCGCGGCAGGGAAAGGCTGTGTATCCCATAAAAACATTTGGAATCGAGGCACGGTGGAACCCCCCCCCGGCTCACACAGGGTTTACCAGGAGGTAACAAAGCCAATTTACTAATTAACTGGGATTAATTTCCCTGTTTGCCCAAACCACCCTGTGGTTTCCCTTCGTTGCCCAACGATCTGCCAGGATGAGTGCTGGCAGTGCTGGCTGAGCACCACATGCTCCAATGGGATGATACTCTCCATTGCCCCAAATCCCTGGAAATTCCAGCCAAATGCTTAGGATACAATTAAATAACGCCTTAACTACATGGGATGGGATCCCCTAGCCCTGAATCTGGATCTGGGATGAAAAAAGCATTTTTTCTTCTTTCCATGGTTATTTGATATCATTCCAGCCGTTCCTCAGTCCCCAGAGGGTCCCAGAGGGGAGACATGACCTGAATTCCTAAAGCAGGAAAACAAGCAGGGGGAAAAAAAAAAAAAAAAGTCCATGTGGGTTTGTTGTTTTTTTTTTTTTTAGCTGATTCCAAGCTTTTGGGGCCTAGCAGGAAGATGAATAGAGCAGATGGTTATTCCCTGGAAGGGGATGGGAATAACCGGGAGATGGGGTGTACCTGAGTTTGGGGGGAGGAAAGGGGAGTGCCAGCAGTGGGGTGACACAGCAGTGAAAGCCGAAGAGTTTGTTCCTGTTGGCTCCTGGCCAGACAGTCACGCCTCTTCCCAAATATGCAGCTCAGCTTTCCCTCAGGACCTGTGTCTCCTTCCTCACTGCCCCCTCCATCCTCCAGCCCCCCTTACTCCCACCCCAGGGTTCCTCATTTGTCTCTCCAGTCCCTTAAGAGGGGGAGTAAAGGATCCCTGAGGATCCCAGGGGGTGGAAACCTTGTTATGGGGCAGACAGTGCTGCCACTGGTCCCAGCTGGTCTTGACTGGTCCCACCACGGCCAAGCATCACAATGACACAGTAGATGCCTGGCACCCAAAACTCCTCTCTCTGATTTTTTGCTGAATTGGTATGTTTGGGGAGAAAGTGGTGTTTTCTCAGCAATAGGTTTGTCAGCGTCAACTGTGGGGTCACCTGGCTCTGGTCACTGGGGGGTGCAGAAAACTAGGAGGAAGAGAGGGATAGATGGGTGGGAGTACAGGGGGAAGGAAGGATAGGCAGGCTGGATAAACAAATGGAGAGACAGAGGGATTAAGAGCTGGATAAGAGAAAAGGGTGAATGGGAGAGCAGGGGTCAGATGGATGGATGGATGGATGGATGGATGGATGAGAGTCCAGAGGGGTGGACAAATGGATGAATGCATGTATTAAGGACTGGATGGGGAGATGGGTGGACTGAGTAACAAGGAGGTGTGGAGGGATGGATGGAGGGACAGAGGGATGCATAATGGGAAGCATGGATGGTTGCACACAGGGATAGACAGATAGACAGGTGTATGGACAGACAGATGGAGAGAGGGACAGGACAGTCAAATAGATGGATAGAGAGATTAAGTTCTGGAAGGGAAGAAGGTTGGACAGGGGACAGAGGTAGGTGGAAAGACGGATGGACAAATGGATGGATCAAGGGGTGTACAGGGAGATGGCTAGGTAGAGGAGAAAGGGATGGACGGAGGGACAGATAGGGATAGAAAAAGGTCCTAAGGTCAGGATGGGGAAGGGTCAGTGCCCGGCTGTCAGGACAGACGGACGGGACACGGCTGGAGAGGCTGTAGCCCCTTTAAGCGCCCCCCCGTGGGCGGGCGATGGTACGCGCCGGTGAGGCCGCGCCGCGCGGGGGACAATGGGGTGGGGGCGGGCCCACTGTGGGAGCGGGGGGGGGCGGGCAGGAAGTGCCGCGCGGCCGCGCCCCCTCCTGCTCGCCCACCCCCGGCCCATCGCGGCGGGGCTGCTCTTGAGGCGGCGGCGGGACCGGGGACCCCACCGGCACCGGCACCGGCACCGGCACCACGGACGCGACCGGCACCGGGAACCGGGCAACGGCACCAGAACAGCACCGGGCACCGGCTGGGTGAGGGCACCGGCGGCTGAGGGAGACGCGGGGTGGCATCGGAGCGGGAAGCGGGCTCGAAGCCGGGGCTCCGGTGCAGCCGCCGCAGCCCCAGCCCCGATCCCCCCAAATCTAGCCTCAGTCCCGTCCCCTCCAAGTCCAGCCTCACGCAAGGCCCCCAAATCCGGCCTGAACCCCAACCAGCTCAAATCCAGCCTCGGTCCTGACTCCCCAGATCCAGCCTCAGCCCCGGACCTCAAATCCATCCTCAGCTCCATCCCCCAAGATCACTGGTACCCCCAGTTCCCCCTGTCAGACCACCCCGCATGCTCTGGGTCTGATTCACCCCCAGGCTCACACCTATTGCAACCCTGTTGTGTCCCCTCGCAGTCTTGCTCTGATCACCTCTATCCCAAATCTGCCTCACTACATCCTGATACTTCCATTCCCCCTATTGCATCCTGATCCTAGGGCAACCCCTCCAGCCCCACATTGTATCCTGACCCCCAGTTCCCCCCCTGCACTGCAACCCTATTGCAGCCTGGCTCCCCATTGCAACCTCTTGTCTCCCTGTTGTGGCTTGATCCTCCCATTCCCCCCAGTATGACCCTCCCAGCCCTCCCAGTTGCATTCTGACCCCCTGTTCCACCCCTTTGTAGATCCTCCAGCTTGCCCATTGCCTCCTTACACTCCCATTTCCCCCCACTGCAGCCCCTCCAGTCCCCACTGTATCCCAACCCCCACCTTGCCCCCCATTAAAAACCCTGCATGTCCCCCATTCCCACCTGACCCCCATCCCCCTTATTACCATCCTCAGCCCTACTCCCCCTTTCCTCCTCACCCCAAGTCCCTCCATCCACCTCCTCCCCCATCAATCCCCATTCACCCCCTCAAACCCCTACCCCAAGCCCCCACTCACCCTCTCACCCTTAACTTCCCCCAACTCCAAACCTTCATTCACCTTCTGTCCCCACAAGCTTCCCCTCAAGCTCACCCCATCCCCAGCCCTCCACTCATCCTCCCAACCTCCCCTCCCAAACCCCATTCACCCTCTGCTCCTTATCCCAAGGCCACCACTCACCCTCTCCTCCTTCAACCTCCCCCCATCTGAAGCCCCCCTTTTACCCTCCTGCCTCAAACCCTCTCATTCACCCTCTCCCCATCAATCCAAGGCCTTCACTCACCCTCTCCCCCACAACCTCCCCCCACAACTGCTTCTACCCCAAGCCCCCCTTTTACCCTCTCCCCTCTGAAGCCCCCTCATTCGTCCTCCTCTCTCGATCCAAAGCCCCCT